TTGTTGGTTCCATACTGGCACTATAAACGCGAAGTTTGCTGAGTGTATTAAAATGCACACAATTACTAACGCACTCGTGCATCTCTCTGTCTTTTCACAAAGCTCGTATATATACCTCATCCCATTACGATTAGAGCTCACGGAGGGCTGAGTCCAGTCTACGTTTGTTTTTCAAGCATCTCCACGTTTGAAGTTCTTGTAGATTTGCGCGGCGACCTCTACCAATGACGTGTTTCACACGCAATCAGACAGCTGGATGCCACGAGAGTAAGAACATCATATAATATATATGGGGGCATGTGATATAGCGTGAAATTATAGCGAGGGTTCATAAGTGGCGTATACGTAATTAGAACATACAAAACTCGCTGCAAGTACTCGTACTATAGCGCTCTGCTATATTATGTATTGGGCGCCCAAGCGGCGCAGTTTCACTGGCCGGTGTCAACTCGTTCGTCACACTACAGGAGCGTAGAAAACGCGCTTTGTACGCTTTCAAGCGTGCAAAATAGACAATTTTCTCTATGTGTTTTACTCGCGTGGTGGTGGTGGTGCAACGTTGTTGCTGTTTGCGGTTGCTGGCTGGTGGTAGTGTTATATGTTGCTGATGTTTGTTGCCTGTTGGCTTCGGCTACTGCTGCTGCTATGCTGCTGGCTGGTGGTGGCGGTGAGTTTGCTGTTGCTGCTGTTGCTGCCTGCTGCGCTCGCTGGTGGTTTCGGTGGTGCGGCGGTATTGAATGTTTGGCTGCTGCTCGGTCGGCCGGTGCTACTGCAGCTGGTTCTTGTTATCCGGGTCTGCCGTGAATATGGTGCTCAGTTTTAGCTGGGATGCTAATACAGAGAACATTACTTGTGGAGAGTGTTATACTAGGGACTAGGGGCTGTTTGTACAGTGGTTGGTGTACTGCTAACGAAAGCTTGCATTCACCGTAACGTCCTTTTTAATCCAATACGAATCGATATACACGGCTAGAGAGGGCAGAATAACATAATGTGACTTCTGTTATTAAATAAATCTCTAACTGGTGTCACTGCCTGATAATAACTGCGGGCTTGCCCCATATGCTGAAGTACGCGTACCTCTACATAATATAAACTTGTATTGGGACGTGGCAATATCACAGACTTTGCGTTAATGACAACAAATACGCGCACCGTGGTCCGAGAGGGGGGCCGCTGGTCATGGGTCGCTCCCTTTCCAACTACCCTGGCTGCCACCCGTGACGTCGGGTCGTGCTATCCATATCTCTCTACGAGTGTTACGAAAACGAAGATCTCGAAAACAAAGACCGAAGACCAAAAACCTCGAAAACGAAGACCCAAAAACGAAGACCCCCTCAACCAGGCCATTAGTACCACAAAATCGAGGAAGAGTTTGCTAGTGCCCTGACGTATAAAATATGGTATTTTGGCAGTTTGATGAGGGTCTTCGTTTTCGTAATTTGGGGGTCAAATCACGAAAACGAAGACCCCGCTAGATTTCATCGATAACGCAACGGATTCGCTCAAAAATACAGTACGAAGAACATTCAGCAAAAGACTCCTTATGCTTGCGGAAACACTGATTAATTTTGTCCCATTTTGATCAGCCGCCTTTCAGATCTAGACATACAAGAGTAATAATATAATAATGGCTTTATTGGCATCTTGTAACAACTATTTACATCAATATATTGATCCAATAAAGAAATATGGAAAAGAGTATATTGTGATGAAACACAAATAAGCTAACATTTAATAACGTTCATTATAACCTTGAATTCGAAACTAATCGAAGAGCTTCAACTTTAATTAGTAACTTTAATTAATAAGAACGATTGATTGAATGATTTTCGCACCGAAGGCAGCTCACATTAAAAAGACAGTAACTTATGTTGAAATCGTACAGGATTGAAAGAACCGGTTAAATCCATAATTTAATGAGAGCGTCCTCCAACATCATAATGCGTACTTTTATCAACATTCAAACCAAGTGCATTATCGTACAACCTGGAGTTTTGCTTCAGTTATAAAACGTGCTGCTCAGTCGTGCAACGAGGTGAGCTTTATAAAGGCTGCGTCCTATTTTGTTTAGGCCATGTACGTGATTTCACGAAGCACAATGTCCACTATTATTTTGGTCACACGATCGGTAGATAATTAATGGTTTTGACGTGTTTTTTTAAGAAAAACACACATTTTACTCATTAATATAAGATATACTATCCCTATAATTGTAATTCTGAGTGTAAATGTGTTATTTTCATCTTAATATTAAAGTTACGAGATGGTCTGGGCTCTCGTAATGTTAAGAGGATATTTGCGAGGATTTTTCGTTCTCGTAACTTTGCGATGTTTCTGTCAACGGTTTACGAGTGGAAGTTAATGTTAAGACTAATGTTAAGACTAATTTTGTTTCTGACAACGGGCCCCTGGGCACTAGCAGACTCTTCCTCGATGTTGTGGTACTAATGGCCTGGTTGAGGGGGTCTTCGTTTTCGAGGTCTTCGTTTTCGAGGTCTTTGGTCTTCGGTCTTCGTTTTTGAGGGTATTCGTTTTCGTAACACCCTCTCTCTACACATATAATAGCGCTGATGTCATGGTATATTTCTAGATCTCGTGCTATGAATTGAAACTTGTCGTAGCACGTTCTATATACGTATAGAACGCTGCTACACGTACGTATATATATATATATTATAATATATAA